TCTCTCTCTCTCAAAAATAAAAATAAACATTAAAAAAAGTAAAAGGAACTAAAAAGTAACACTTGAAAGTTCTATTGGAATCTCTGAAGTATATTTTTAAATGTCTTTAAGAGCATCAGACTATCATGTGTATTAGCTTTCATTTACCCAAAAAGTTCATTTCTTTCTAAAAGTTGATTTACTGTACAGATCATATCCAATGAATTTTCATTTTAAAATATTATTCTGATCATGAAAGTTGGTACTTTCGATGTCCCCTTCATTTTGATAATGACATCAGAAACTATTTTGAATAACTAGTCCAAACTTGTTCATCTCTTTCAAAATGGCATAACTATTTTAATGTAAAAATGTTGCCTTTTAGCATTTGCTTATAAATGAAATATTATCATTAGATTAAATTCTACTTAGTGAATTTTCCATTTTGTTAGAAACCAGCTTTCATAGATAATCATGAAATTCAATTCCAGTAATATAAAAAGTAAGCCATATATAATGAATTATTCATGTAGGTTATAAGTTAGGCAAAATGTTTTTCTAGAGTAATTTTTAGACATGTTTAGAGGAAAAGTAGGTTTTCAAGGCAATGGGAAGAAACTAAGATATTTCAGAATATAGAAATTTAACTGCAACCAATCTAATGTGTCAAATCTTAAAACTTCAGGGAAAACTAGATCTTATGTCACACAGCCAGGGGAAGTAAAGGTTACCAATACCACCCTTTTCCAACAAAAGAAAAGCTTTGCTCAGGATGCTTGGGATGGAGAGGACCGAGTATTCAAAAGAAAAGTAAATCAATTTTGTATTAACCATTTGAGTCAATTCCAGAAGTATAATTTGTAGAATGATCATGAAATATCCATAGAAGTCACTCATAGTATATATTTATATCACCTTTCAAGAAACAGTCATAAAAAGATGGCATGATTCTGCTACGAATTCTTTTGGATTGTTTTTTCTGCTTATTCTGTCAATGCCTGGTTGTTGTTTAACTGTTAAACACGAGCTGTGACATGAAATGATGAATCTTTCTCATCTATTTAACAAGTATTTTGTAGTCTACTGTGTGTCAGACACTGTTGCTTATGCTAGAGAGCAGTCATAAATGAAACAAATGCAATACCCTTACGAATATACATTCTAAAGAGAGAATCAAGGAAAATGATAGTAATAGTAATAGTAAAATAGCATTTCGGTTGTTTTTACCATTGCTATTATTATGATTAGTGGTGGTGGTATTAACAATGGTAGTAGTAGTAGATTTATGGATGCGTGACTGGGACCATGGCAGAAAATGACCTCATCTCCTATTCCACTCACTACTGCTCATTCTGATTCAGCCACACCAGTGGGTCGGCTTGTTCCTTGACCATATCAAGCACGCATTCCTGCTTGAGGGCCTTCGCACTGGCTTCTTCCCTCTTCTTCAAACACTCTACCCCCAGAAACCTTCCCCCACTTGTTTCTTACACCACTTTCTCAATGAGGAGTATCTTGGTCGCCCTATCTTAAATAATCACCCTTACATCTTCCTACCCCAATGCCAAATCCCCTTACCTTGTTCTACTTCTTTTACCCCATTGCACTTAATTACCTCTGATAAATATAACTTATTTATTGTTTTTATTTTTTATCTGTCTCCTTCTGGTAGAGTACGAGCTCTGTAAAGCCAGAGATCTTTGCATTGCTTATTGGGTTATTCCAAAGAGAACCTGATAACAGAGTAGGCATTGAGTCAATATTTATTCAATGAGATGAGGTCAAGATGTATTTGGGGGTGGGGGGGAATGTGGCTTGAGATGGTTTAAGTTTTAGCAGAAACATTGGTTGCTGCATAGAGAGTCGTTTAAAGGAGTTCTAGGGTACAGTTGAAGGAGGAGCATCCGAGGAAGCAAATGCATTACCGTTAACAAGTGAAAGCATGTGACGAGAGAGTGGTAGTGACGAAGAGGTGAGACCTGGCAAGCTATGTCCCACGTGAAAGTTCTATTCCCTAATAAAATTATAATCAAATTTGTGGGTAATACTGAAGACCGATGGTTACGTCAGTAAGTGGTGATTGTCACTTAAGCACTTGAAACCGCAAGGCAAATAATTAAGACTTTAACAGATATCATTTCCACAGACACAACATTATTTTCATTCTTTAGACTAATAATTTTAAATTAAAATCTTTTTGAAAACTTAAAAATAGAGACAGTGCGTGTGTCTTTTCCATGAATAGTCTGTGTAAGAGAAATAAAAACACCTCTTCCGAGAATTAACATACGGCGTGTCAATTTCTCAGTGGGGTTTTGCTGAGGTTTTTGCTGCATTTGAAATACACTGAATTTTGTTAAAAAAAAAAAATAAGATCCTATTATCAAAATAACCATCAAATAATAAGGTGGTCTCTTAAAGAAGAATATTAGAAATATTTCGATTGATTTCGTTGATTAAACTTGGCACCACTGCCCCCTTGGAAGGTAGCTCTCTGAAAAGGAGCGAATAACCCAGCAGCCAGCAGGAACAGCCTCGCAGAAACAAGCATGACATCGCAAAGGTCACCGGAATCCTGTTTGTATTCGTAGAGCAGCTTCCTTAGAACCCAACCCCGGAGCTAATTTATCCTGAAGCCTGTCCATATGTGGCGTTGGTCTTTGGAATGATAAAAGCCACAGCCCCACACACATGGGTCTGGTGATGGGAGGTGGTCCCAGTGACCGTGGCAAAAAGAGAAAGCCGTGGTTTTGAAGGAGGAGCAGAGGTATGTGTACGCGTATGTTCAAAAGCTAAAACCAGTCACAGGCCTGACACTCTCGAGCTGGGCTGCCTCGGCGGTTCGACGGCTTCTCGAAGAACCGCCGCGGACCTGCGCGGGGCGCTAATCCAGGTTGTGAACTAAGATCCGGGCATTTGTAAATGATTCCGTTATGTTCAATATACTCGGTTTTGAAAGGCAATGGAGTGCCTAATGCATCGTAGAAAGATTTCTTTGGGAAGTAATTAAAGTTTAAATGGCCGTAGAATCCGGGAAGTTCAAACTTCCGTTACGTGAAACTTTACTAATTTTAATACTTCGTTGCCGAAGGATGTCAGATAAATGGATTTTTCTGGTCTAAACCTTTTGAGTTAAAACTACATACTCTAACAAAAGGTAAAAACGCAATACTACAGGCAGTTATGTTTACTAAGGTGCTAATTTAGAAACAGAGAAATGATTGGCTACTGCTTACTGCTTCTTACATGCAACAAAAATGCATTCTCAAGAGAGGGAACTGTGAGGGACTCTGAAAATTGCAGATGAAACCACGAGTGCACTCACTGTGGGAAGTATTATAGGGTCAGTGGCCTTGCTACTTTAGGCACTGCAAATATTTTGGCTTAAGTTCAGACTCACACTCTGTAATTAGAAAGAACATTGCTACTGTCAGGCTCCAGCCAAGCCACATATGTTTGCATTCTGTTTTATGAGATTCTCACTGCAAATTGCACTGTGATCTTTCACTATGGCGAGGGTGACAGACTTCTGTTGATCCTAACGGTGGCAACAAAGGAAAGACCGATAGCAATGCCAGCTAACCAGTTCTCTCTCTTCAAGGAGTAGCTTTGGATTACTACTTACAGGGCATTTCAGTAAAAAAATAAAAACACTCTCATAATCGATATTTTTTTAACTAGAAATTATGATAGACATTGATTCTCTAGTTAGGGTCCGTGGGATCCTAGGAAGACCACTGAAGGGCTTCAGAGGGCTCATGAGGCTGCTGAAATTCTCTGCCAAAATGTGTGCATATACATTTTATCAAGGAAACGATTCCAAGGTTTCGTTCCATTTTCAAAGTGTCTGTGACACCCTGTTCCAGAAAAGTATTTTTAAGATTAAAAGCCACTGCTTACCATACACCTATAGGAAAATGCTGAGCGTGTGTGCCATCGGGTTTTAAGGGACAATGGAGCCTCCCCCAATTATGTCACCTCTCATTTTGTCACAGGCTTGTGATCAAGTATTATCTAGATGGCCCAGGCCTTAAATTCAGTTTAGAACAATAGATAAATCACAGGCTTTGGAAACCGACTGCTGTGACTCAAATCCTGAGTTGGCCACCAACTAGCTAAGTGAGCTCAGTTAAACGTGTTAAGCTTTCAGAGCCTCAGTTTCCTTCTCTGAAAAATGGGAATAATCATACTATCTGATTCATAGGGAGGAGGTAAGGGTTGAGAAGATCATGTGAGTGAAGTGTTTAGCCCAGTTCCAGACCCCACTTCTGACTGTATTATTTCATCAGTGTTACCTTTGATGAGCTTTAAAATGAGTACTAATAAAATCTTTAACTTCGAATATCTGTTTTTTAACAATACCAATTACTAGCTAGTGACCTTTTCATTACAGTTAAAAATCATCATGTTTTCAATTCCCCTTTGTTAATTGTTATCGATATCCAAAGCTTTAAAATTTTTTTAATGTTTTATTTATTTCGGAGAGGAGAGAGACAGCGTGATCAGGAAGGGGCAGAGAGAGGGGGAGATACAGAATCTGAAAGAGGCTCCAGGCTCTGAGCTGTCAGCACAGAGCCCATCGCGGGGCTGGGGCCCACACACCGTGAGATCATGACCTGAGCCGAAGTCGGACGCTTAACCAATTGAGCCACCCAGGCGCCCCTGATATTCAAAACTTTAGATGCCTGTATTGTGGCACTTTACATCCAATTCATTGCTATGCTAAAAATTTTGTATGTGGGCATGTTCAAAGTCTGATGTCTTTTCTTTGTTTTTATCCTATAACTAAAAAAACAAATCTAGCCTGTTGATTAATGCACCATTAAAACATTATACCAGTTTTTAGGCCACAATATGAAATAGAAAAAGCATCTGAAGAAACACAAATGAATGTACTGGGTTTATATGCCAAGAAATGTAAAGCACATACAGTTGTCTGAGCTATTTCTCTTTCCATACAAGGATAAGAACTCTAAGGAAATTAACAAATTTGAAATGTTGCTCTTTTTTTTTTCCCACAGCCCTTGTAGTGAGATTCCTGACCAAGCGCTTCATCTGGGAATATGATCCCACTCTTGGTAGGTCAAATTTTGTTGCTTCCTCCTTTCCACTCAAAGTTTATGATCCAAAACAAACAATGACGTGTTCTGTTGCAACCTTTTGAAGCACCTACCAGATGTTTGGCAAGTGCCAATCAAGTCATGCACAGAAGTCCTTAAAGAAGCTAGCCACGTGTGTCATGCCGTCTGTGCCTAGAACCAGGCAGGATTCTCACGCCTAGACGAGGAAATCAGGTCAAACTGGGGACCGGAAGGAAGGGGTACAACACGACGCCCATTGGTCGGGAAAGTTAGCATCGTTGTCACGGGGGAAGGAGGACCCAGCGCACAGGCTAACCTGTGGCCGAAGGGGATGGCATGCTGAGGAGAGGATGACGGTAGAAGAAGCCTTCTGAATGCTGATTTGGGGAAAACATAAAAGCAAACCACATTTCTCTCCAGTGAGTCTGATCAAAGCCTATTTAAAAAAGAAAAAAGTAGCAGCAAAATGGGTGTCTGGGGATCTTGCCAAGGAGCCGTCATGTTTTTTTAAAGAGTCCAAAACGTATTAGATACCTATTTAGTTATCTTCTTCAAAATAATGCTGAAAATCCATGGGTTCTAATTTAAGCCTCAGATTTTATTCTGAATGAATCCTTTGAGTTTCTGTTTCTTGTGCTTCAAGGAGCACAGCTGGAAAGGCAACAACTTTGAATCCAGAGGTGGGAAAGATATACATTCATCACTTCATTACCAGGCACAGCGTCCAGGCTAAGCTAGCCTCACTCAGGATAGTGGAATGGCAAAGAATATTCCTTTTTCTAAATTTTCATTTTGTTTTGTTTTGGATATTACTGCAAGTTTACATATGTTCATTTTAATTTTTTAATGTTTATTTATTTTTGAGAGACAGAGAGCTCGAGTTGGGGAGGGGCAGAGAGAGGGAGACACAGAATTCGAAACAGGCTCCAGGCTCTGACTTGTCAGCACAGAGCCCGACTGGGGCTCAAACCCTTGAACCTGAGATCATGAGCTAGGCCGAAGTCTACCACTTAACCAACTGAGCCACTCAGGTGCCCCTATATGCATATGTTCAATTTAAAAGGCAGTCTTCGTTGGGCACCTGGGTGGCTCAGTCAGTAGGGCATACAACTCTTCATCTCAGGGCTGTGAGTTTGACCCCACATTGGGTGTGGAGCCTACTAAAAAAAGGGGAGGGGGGGCTTCTTTCCCTTTGTGCCTCCTTTCATTGCTTTTATTCATTCATTCATTCAGCAAATAAATATTAAATGCCTCCTATGTGCCATATATATTACTCTAGTTGCTGAAGATAAATCAATAGGCAGAAAGAGAAAGCATGTGGCTTTTTTTTTTTTTTTTGAGCTAACAGCCTAGTAAAGACAGAAGAGTCGATAAACAAATATAAGTCAAATAGTGATAAGTACTATGAAGGAAGACTGAACAGAGAAGGGAATACAGAGTGATCTTACAGTTTATTTATTTTTTAACTTTTTAATCTATCTGGAACTTACTTTAGTGAGAAGTACACACTGAAGATCCAACAGTCTTTCCAAATAGTTGCTAAGTTTACTAAATGGTCCCCACCTTTTGCCACTGCTTTCGAAGCTGTTTTTTTTTAAATATACTGAATCGTTTACACTAAGCTTCAGTTCTAGATTTGCTTTTCATGTCCACTGCCAGTCCTGCCCTCTTGATAATTGTATGCTCTTTAGAACATTGTGACACACAGCAGAGAAAATCTTCTCTGTTTTTGCTATTCAGTAGTTTTTCAGCATCAATAATTTTTAAAATGTTTTGGATATAGCCACAGTCTAATCTTAAGAGGATGTATTTGGATCAAGAATGCCCTTGGTTTTAAAAAAATCAAACAATTATCTATTATTTGTCCCACGTAAGTAAATGCTTACTCTTCTATTTGTATTACTTATATAACCTCTACAAAGATTATAGTTCTGAGAATCTTAATGGCTATGGGAGCTCAGTAGAAAAATACTAACTTTATTTAGCAGTCCCAGTATAGCTCAACAAAGGATGAAGCTTATGAAAAAAAAAAAAGACCTCATAATTTTTTTTACCTCTCTGAATATGTTCCAGTAACTAATGTTACTATTTTAAATTAGTCTTAGGTGAGCCATTTTCCCTCTGCTTTTATTCATTCTGAAAAACAACTTTTGTTAATAAAAATCTGCCTGTATCAGTTATTTATAATGCAGACTTCCTTTACTAAGAACAATGAAACTTTATTGAGTGACCTTGTACTATACTGTTCAGAAAGGATTTCAGCTGCTAAGCAACCAAGCGTTGATCAGACTTCAGGAGCATCAGGCATATGACTCACTCCCAGGTGAGAGTTTTGCTAACTCACCCTGGAAACTGATGTGTGTGTATGTGTATGTGTGTGTGTATGTGTGTGTGTTTGCATGCTCGAAGTCCCCAATGTTCTAGCTTACACAAGTCCCCCATCTATTTGATTCAAGATGAATCAAGCATGCCCTGGGCTTAACTTCATACTGTCATAGAGTTTCAAAACCACCACCAAAAAAGGAAAGCTACCATTAAAAAGCAAAGTGGCATATTTGCAAAAACCAGTCTTGAATTTTGAATTCAGAGCCTTCCTCAAAACCATGGGGTATAAGATAACAGTCTATGTTAATTATACCTCAATAAAAGAAAGAAAGGAAAAAAATGTTTAATAATGCAGTTTTTTTCCACCTGTATCAGAATTATTGCCCCATGAGGAGCTGAAGACTATGAAGACCATTCCACATATTAACATAGTTGGAATAAGATCTGCTGCTCTGAAGTAAATCTCTGAAGAAAACTGTTTGCTACTATAATAGCAAATGAGTCCCAGACTTTTAGATCTCAGTAGGTTTTGCTTTTCTGTTTTGTGGGTTTTTTTTAATGTTTATTTATTTTTTAAGGAGAAAGAGTGTGAGTGGGGGAGGAGCAGAGAGAGAGAGGGAGAAACAGGCTCCAGGCTCTGAGCTGTCAGCACAGGACCTGACGCAGTCTTGAACGCACGAACTGCAAGATCATGACCTGAGCTGAAGTTGGATGTTTAACCCACCGGGCTAGCCCGGGGCCCCACTTTTTGTTTTTTTAAGGAGAGGGATTATCATAAGAACTCCATTTACGGATGCAAGCAAGGCTCAGAGGGTGAGAGAGAACCCTCTCTATTTGCACTTGCATTTCATAGAAGAAGCAAATATTTTTTAACATTCAAGTGTTTTGGAGGATATAATCTAAGAAAAATGTTCAATTCTTTACACGGGGCAATTTTAGTTTTCCTTAAATTTTTCTTATTTCACTGTGGGGTCAGTGCAATCTTTGTCAGAGACCAGAGCTGGTCTATGAATAGCATTTGAAAACCAGCCCTGAAGCCTATGAGATTTGGGACTTGCATCATCTGACCGGGAAACACGCTGCTGGTGGTGAGTATAACATTCTAGTTGTAGAACACGGTCCATGTTCTGACTAGATTCCCAACAAGAACTGAATCCCTGCTTCGGAGAGTCCTATTACCCGCAGGGAGTGCGGATCATGCCAGAGAATACGGTAAAGGCTGACATGATGTATAGTTGTATGTGTGCGTGTGTGTGTGTTGAGGGGGTCTGGAGAGGAAGAGAGAGACTACTCGTCAGCGCTTACCACACTACTGCTACTATATTGGAGGCACTCTACTCCATTTGAATGGATTGCAGGGTCTCTATCTCTCTAGTAAAGGCTCAGACAGGAACAAGGGTAGGAATTGGCAGACAGATCCACTGGCCCTTTGATTGTGTGATTGGTTCTTCCTTCCTGCACTGCAGTACCCTCTGTTTGGAAAGTCTTATCCAAGAGAGAGGCACACCCAGAACAAATTTCCTCAGCTAGATACTAAGGCCGAGGTGCTCAGCCAACTCATGGAACTATTTAATATCGGCACAGCAAGGAACTTAAAGATGGTCATTTGACAAATAAGGAAACAAGTCCAGCGAAGTAAATTTATCTAAGCTTCTGTGGCTAGATTGCGGTTAGGCCAGGAATAAGACTCAAGTCAAACAACAGAACTCAAGTCAGTACAATGTCCACTGTAGCATAAATCAACATTACTAACTGCTGTTGTTACTGCCCTGGCTAAATGTCCATATCAACATGTTGAAATTTGCAAAAAGCTAAACTGGTAAAAGGATTAACCACTAACAGTGTCCCTCTGAGCATCAACTTCTCTTAGAATATACAAAATATACTTCTATTTATAAAAATGTTGCTGAATGCAGGTTTTAAATCATGTATCGCTCATATACAATGAAACTCAGATATAATTTTTAATATGCCTAATTCCATCTTGAAACTAATAACTGGTGTTATAGTATATGATATTTTGTTCCATACAGATATATGCCTTAAATAATCCCCCCCGCTTCCCTTTTTTTTTTTTTAATTTTTTTTTTTTTTTTTTATTTCTAGGAGAGAGAGAGAGAGAGAGACAGCGTGAGCAGGGGAGGGTTAGAGAGAGAGGGAGTCACAGACTCTGAAACAGGCTCCAGGCTCTGAGCCGGCAGTCAGCACAGAGCCCGACGCGGGGCTCGAACCCACGAACCGCGAGATCATGACCTAAGCGAAAGTCGGACGCTTAACCGACTAAGCCACCCAGGCGCCCCCCCCCCCGCTTCCCTTTAAAAAGATAAAAAGACTGGGGAGCCTGGATGGCTCAGTCGGTTGAGCTTCCTACTCTTGATTTAGGTTCAAGTCTTGATCCCAGAAAGCCCCAAGTCAGACTCTGCACTAAGCATGGAGCCTGCTTAAGATTTCCTCTCTCCTTCTCCCTCTGTCCCCTTCCCTCTCCACGCACACATGCACACACACTCTCTCTCAAATAAAAAGAGAAAGAAAACAAGACTCCAAATTCCATTTTAAGTTAATATGCATGAAATGAGAGCTGTGTCCGCTCTTCACACACATACACATTGTCTCTTATGTTTTAAAATGCACAGTAGAGTTTAATTCCAAAAAGTGCTTATTGGTACCTTTTT